AGCTCATAGATAACACACCTTGCGTGCTTTTGCGCACACTGAAAGTGTGTTGTGCTTTTTCGCACGGAGCTTTTGTTTGAAAACTTTAACACGCTCCTTTGTTCGACTTGCTCACGCTTAATTGTCTCAAGCGTGTCCTCTGAAACAAAAGAAATTGCTAATGAGGCAAGATTGCAAGCGTGCTAAAGCCTGTTAAAATAAATTCTTTTGTTTAAAGTGAAAGCGTGTCGTGCGCGTGCTTTCACCTTTAGCATTAAAATCCTGTGGAGGGTCACAAATAAATAAGTAATAAATAAATAAATAGATAGCTAATTGTAAATTGCACTATATATATACAACTATAACTATATACAACTACATACAAGCATAAGAAGGTAAAAATCTGAAATTACAAACTGTCAATTAATTAATAAAACAAAATAAAAACAATTGAAAATATAAAAAGTCATCAAGATCCTTATTGTAGTTCATGCAGGTTCCTTTAACGAATGAAACCTTCCCTAGTGCTGCTTTGTTGGTAGATGTTTTAAGAACTCTTTTGAATGTACCAATGTTCTCACATTCTCGGGCAGTCTTATCTAAACAGTTCCAGACAACAGGACCCCTAAATACCTATTTCAAGCTAAGGATTCGCATATGACCGATTCTGAAATTTTGGCAATTTTGCTGAGAATGCTGATCGTGATGTCCCAAATTAGCCGCACAGTGACGCCATTTCGTACCTGGTACGTAATCCTCGTCATCCTCACTACTGTATTCTGATTCTGACATGTTAAAACGAGAATTATTACACTTTCCACCGAAAAAATCCTTGGTCATGGTCCAGGCGGAACGCATACACGTACGTCGTGTAAACCCAATTGATGTGTCCTCTCTGAATCTTCTGCTGGGTGTCCTGTACTGGTACGTCACTGCAAAGTTTTCTTCGTTTTTTTTTGCCTGAGAAAAAAAAATGTTCGGAGGGGTTGAGAGAATTTTTCGAGAGGTACGCACAATTTTCCACATAATCCTAACACGTCTCTCAAATCGTTTCTATGCCGTGGTGACGTGGGAAGATTTTCAATCCTTCCTTTTTCTTGTCAGTGAGGTGACTGATCATCTCTTTGCTGGTTTTTACATAACGTCATCAAAAATCAAACTAAATAAATTATTGATCTTCCCGAAATTTTACATTTATGAATTTTTAGAGCCGCTAAGAACTAATATTTATACGAGCTTTAAGCTTTTGCGTGAAAGGAAATCTTTGTGATGACGCGGCAGAGAGAGCTTTCTTTAGCTTTTTGAGAAAGTAGAGAAGTCGTGCGGTAAAATAAAGCATTTATTTTAACTTGAAATGATATACCCAAGAAAATTCCCTTGCCGTGCACACGCTCTACTTCACGAGTTCACTCACTTCATGATCTAGGGTCCAGGTTCTGTAATTGGTAGCTACCCGCTACTCCTTTTTATCATTTATTAAATACACTAAAATTGCCTGCTGTCTTTCGACGTATTTTTCGTTTGCAGTTCCTCAGTAAGACATACTGAGCGCCCTGAGGTTAAAGTGAGGTTTTCTTGAATTGTTCTCCTAGCCTCCCTATATCTTTGACCTCAGTTCAGCTTTCGCGTTGCTACATACGTATCTAATCTATGAACTACAAACGAAAAACACACTAATTTTTCCTAATATCTCGTTCTGCTGCCAAAATTTCCCCTGAATTCGCAAAAGTGAGCGTACTCGCAGGCTAAATGTCCCGCGTACTAAAAATTGCACATGGAAAATTGCACTTACCAAAATGTTGGAGAGCGTTTTGACAGTAAAAACCAGGGGTGCTTATCATTTTTCGAGGCTCGAAAGAACTGCATAATTCTTCTTTAACTCAGTTACTGATTTCCCAGTAGTTTTTATTTTTAAGTCACTAACTTAACACTCAATCTACTAAAATGTACGTAAGCAGAAATTTCTTAAAACTACTAAATTTGTCTATAAACCTACTAGCTTCTGTTCAATACCTATCTTGTTCTGCGCGTAGATCGGAACAATGAATAAAAAGTAACAAGTCCCTAAGTTTTACTAGATTTAGGTATAAAAAGTGTGAACAATTGCACCACCACTGGTAGACCAGGTAAAAAGCATGAATGTTAAAATATAAAGAAACTGCAAATCCATGCGGATGAAACTCGACAAAATTATATTGCTTCATACAGTGGAACCTCGATATGACGAACCCCTATATAACGAAATCCTCTCAGTATATAACGAACCATTTTCTTTACCCCAGTAATAGAACTTTAAGATATGTATGAAAAAGAATCTCGATTTAACGAAACCCCGATATAGCAAACAAATTTTGCCAGTCCCTCGACCCTTCGTTATACCGAGGTTCTACTACTAAGGGCTTTGGGGCCTTTTTAAAGCCCCATTGGGCCTTTTCCCAACAAAAAAAAATGGGTGTTTGTTAGCTTCCTTTTTCTCTCTGTTCCCCTCTTTCCTTACTTCACGTTAAATAATACATTCTATTTTTTGTCTGTTTTCTGTTTATTTTACATTTACCCTTTTTTCTACCCGTCTTCCTTACACTTCTTTTTCTGTTTGACTCATGCATAAGTCAATTCCAGCTGCACCTAGCCCCGCACCCCCACCCCCGGGGCTGTGGGGCATTGCATTTGTCCGCCCCCGCCCGTGGGTGGGGCATTTGCAAGTTTGCGCTGCCCAGGGGACCAGGCATCTGCTCGTAGTTACTAAAACAAGGAATGACCTACAATGATCTACAATGACCTACAATGATCTACAATGACCTACAATGACCTACAATGATCTACAATGACCTACAATGACCTACAATGATCTACAATGACCTACAATGACCTACAATGATCTACAATGACCTACAATGATCTACAATGACCTACAATGATCTACAATGATCTACAATGATCTACAATGACCTACAATGACCTACAATGATCTACAATGACCCACAATGATCTACAATGACCTACAATGATCTACAATGAGCTACTACGAGCTGCTAGGAGCTAAAATGAGTTAAAATAAGCCCTACAAGGAGCTGCAAAATGACAGACAATGATGTTAAGCTAGGTCATTCCTTGTTTTAGTAACTACGGGCATCTGCTAACCCCGGGGCTACTCCCGAGCTATTGACACGCACGCGATTTCCTATCAGAATATAACTACACAGAGGATATTTATACTGGAAAAAACGCAGATTGGCTCATCTGTCAGGGAGAGGGGGTTGTAAAGGCATGCTCTCGATTAGACTACGAGCAGTCTCTCTTTTTTCTTGCTCAGTCGAGCAAAACGCCCGAGACACGCAAATGGCCACGCGCCTGACTGAAGGCGCGAGACGGGAGAGTCAACGCTCGCGCGTGCGTGCACCCCCTTACAACATGCCTTACTAAATCTGATGAAAAAGAGAGACTGCTCGCAGTCTAGTTCTCGATTTTATGCACACATTTCTTCACTGCTTATCGAGCCATAATAACATAACGAAACTCCGGAACCGTGTCGACATGAATCAACGTTTTTTGATCGGTGAATCAAATTTCTGTTGATATTATTTGAAGAACATCCTTTCATATTTATAACCTATTCCACATTTAACTTTACAGCTCTCTATTAATTTTAATGTCAATAATTTTTCTAAAACCATAAACTGGTGCATGTCGTCGCGGCGTGAAGTCTTAATTAGAATCCTAGCGCTATTACGAAGGAAGACGTTACTTGAAACAAAAAATCGCACATTAAAATGCTTAAGAAAGCACTATTCGACTGTGCAATCAATGAAAAATGTTGCAGTGTTGACGGAGGAAGAGGCATTTGCCCTCTTTTTTCGTCCTCACCTCGAGGGATTTGACAGCTCAAGAGTCTCCACCCTTGGGAATTTGCCATCCTAGGGATAATAAATGCTAACGCCCGGGGGTTAGCCCGGGGGTAGCCTCCCGGTTCGTTTGTCACGCATTCATTTCTGAATGCGTGACAAACGAACCCCAAAGGACGTCTGCGGGGAGGCTAGCCCGGGGGAGGCTGCGCAGCTGGAATTGACTGATGCATGAACGTGAGAGAGCACAGGTAACCCAAGCTCGAAATATGAGCATCGGCGAGCATCGGCATTCTTGCGCGCGTAACATTCAGAATGTAAGAATTTGTATGGGAGAAAAAATCTATCGTTTCTGTAACCAACGAAAATGAAAGGATTTCAATAGAAAATAGTTTACCTTACTTAAAATATGTGTTACGTCTCTCCTGTGTGGTCCACGGGCCGATTTATGGCCCTTTTATGGGTTTTTATGTAAACGGTTTTCTCCCTATATAAGGTTTAAACCTCAATAGAGAGAAAACCGTTTACATAAAAACCCATAAAACGGCCATAAATCGGCCCGTGGACCACACAGGAGAGACGTAACACACAGTTTAAGTAAGGTAAGCTTTTTTTTATTGAAATCATTTCATTTTCGTAGGTTACAGAAACGATAGGTTTTTTTCCCATACAAATCCTTATATTTTGAATGTTACGCAACAATGCCGATGCTCGCCGATGCTCATATTTCGAGCTTGGGTTACCTGTGGAGAGAGTAAAACATTTATGTGTAAATAGCGTGAGCTGAGCCCGAGCTGAGTGACATTTGAATTGTAAATTGAGTGGGGCTCAATTGACAAACAAAAATATTGTAACACTCCGTGGGTTCAGCGAATGAAACGTACTGTGATAATGACAAGTTTCTACTGTTTTTATTCCGACCGCTTCACTCTTTACGCACTCGTCCGATCCGCTCTCACGCTATCCACAAGCCCAAATATGGCAACCCGCATGTAGCACCCCACTACACTACGTTACGCAATGACCCGTTACAATAAAAGCATAATTGTCAGTTATTTGGATTCGCAACCATCAAATCGGTAGCCTTACGAGCCCAATCGTCTTGGTTCAAAACCAAGAACACGACCAAAAATAGGTGAAAATAGGTAACGTGGATTTTATCTCAGCAGCTCGAGTGGAGCGGGACAGCGAATTTGGAAGCTCTTTCGTGAAGCGAGATGATTGCAATTGGTGTCGTTTTGTTGATATCTTTGTCACTCTTCGTCTTTGCATCGGTTTCGTTCATTTCTAAATATTCATCTGTAGCTGTCTTAAGGTTACTACCAGTGGGACGCAAACCGAGCATTTTATTTGGAAACGCTCTGCACTTGAGAGGAGAAGCTGACGGTATGTACAATAATTGAGATAATTGTTGAATCAATCAACAATGTAAATAATTTCAAGGCTGCTGCCTAAGAAAAATTTTAGGGAGCCCTTCGGGCTCCTAAAGTTTAAAGTTAGGAGCCCGAGCCACATTGTTAGGAGCCCAGTTTGAAATCCATGTATTGTTTTTCCAAGATCATTACATAGGTTATAGAGGTTCTTGCACACTTTAATAAGAATTCGCTGGGCCTAATAAATAACACGTAAACAAGAATTAACCGAATTATTTACTTTCATTTATTAATTTATTCGATTAACTTCCACATCTGTTGTGTTCAATGTGACCTAGAAGAGCCTTCAAAGAATTTTCTAAAATGTAACAATTAAACTGCTTCTTACCTTTCTTATACACATTCATGAGCCGGAAAAATATTTGAGGGGCTTAATTTGCGTGTAAAAGGAATTTTCACAATTTTCACAATAAAAGAATAACATAACAGTAGGTAATTTGCAAACTGGTACATGAAATCGAACATCAAGCACGTCCAGTCGATAGCACGCAAGATAGCTTCCCATTCTCGCCACAAAAAAGTTATCAAATCGACGAAAACCCAAGCAAACGATGAACTGCACGAATGTCAACATAGGCAACAAACAGCCCATAATTTTGCTATTCCATATTTGGAAGTCAAATCTCAGACCCAGTCTTCAACTGCCATCCGGACTCGGAAACGATGGCTTCGTTCGTTTCGACAAAGCTTCACAGTTGAACACGTTAGGTTTACATAATTTACGGTTTATTTGTGGAAATTTTATACTGCCTAATCGCATCATCGCTAACCATATCAACAGTTCCACTGTTTAAAGTCCTACTCCAGCTAAAGGAATATAATGTACAAGGAGGTTAAGTCTAATGCCGTGTGTTAAGTCAGGCGCCCGCGCGGGCTCCTTGTACCGAAATTTGGTCGCCCATGCTCTTACCTTGGGCGCCTCTGGCGACCGGGCGCCCGTTAGGCAGCAGCCTTGAATTTAGACCAATGAAGTAAAAAGTGGGGACCAAAATGCGTTTCGTAGGCATCGATCAAAGAATGAACAAGTGATTTTCGGTTAGGGAGTAACTGCAGAATACCCTGCCACTTCGAAGCTGTATCCCTCAAAGAGCTGGATACGGTACATACATGCAAACTCTCCCGGATACGACAACAAATCTCCCGGATAAAATCGAGTTATGAGCTTTTCTGTGCTTTAATTTGAAATTTATTCCATTTTCTCCCAAAATTCGAATTTTCTTTGATTCAAAGTTCGGTTTCTGGGGTAATTTCGCACGTATTTCATCACTGACAAAGATCAGTTTCGCCATTACAATCGTAAAAGCTAATTGTGATAGTCTGTTGTAAGACTTCATATAACGTCCTAAGCCGATTAGGGACTAGATCAAATTGTGCTTATTGGGGGCTCGGGGTCAGGGGGGTTGATGGTTGGTATTGGGGGGGGGGTAATGCAAAAGAAAGAGTCTCCAGATTTTAGATTTCCAGAGGTTGGCATCTCTGGATACGTGGATACGCAGTTACCTCTTTTATGCGCTTTTCTAATCTCGTACCCAGATCTCACTCTGTTTTCTGTTTCACTCTGTCTTGGCCGTGGGAGATCTGGGTACGAGATTAGCGCTTTTCTACCTTCAGTGGCTTTAAAACCAGCACATAAACATATTGTATGCTTTTTATGCTGTCTTAAGTGTATATTGAAGCGGATACGCGTATTTACCAAGTGGATAAGCGGATACGTACTGGCATTAAGTGGATACGCGGATACGTAGTGACCCAGGGTAGTGACTGAGTATCCGCGTATCAGCGTATCCAACTTTTTTTGAGTGTTGCTTTAGGGTATTCTAAATTTTTAGCTGTTGAACGAATACCCTGCGAACAGAGTTTTCTTTGATCGTCCTAGATACAAGTCGGGAAGAGGAAGGAACCTCTGCCAACATGCTTTACAATTCATATTGAGCTAGCCTGTTCCAGGCGTTCGGATAGTGGAGTGTGGGGCGAAGGAAGAGAGCGACAAAAACATAAGGAGGAAAAGAGGGAGAGGGAGATAGGAGAGAACGTTAAAAAGTCTTACAGCCCTACCCCACCCCCTCGTTGTGTTTTTTTGTGCTCGCATCTCTCACATCGCTGTCCCCACGACCTGAACACCTGGCTAATATTGAGCATGCTCCAAATTCAAAATTATGCAATCGTGCCTCCCGACCTCCCTTTCAAACAAACGACCACGCGACTTCTCAAAGTTTTTTTTCTGAAAAACTAAGGTGCAAATAAGCA